GTTTTTGCATCATTTAGCTTCAAGCAATTTAACGACATCCAGGCCTTAATATCTGCAAGACATGCTAAAAGCGGTTGGATCGAGTAGGTGTCCTTTTTAGTCAGTGGCATGATAATCTGGACATCATCAGCATAACAGTGAAAAGAGACCCCATGTTTCCTAAAGATAGAGCCAAGGGGAAGTAAATACAGAGAAAACAGCAAAGGCCCCAAAATGGAGCCCTGTGGAACCCCAGATAACAAGGGGGTTGTCACAGATTCCGCATTTGCCAGCCCGACAGACACTGATCTACCCGATAAATATGACTGAAACCATGCTAGGGCAGCACCACGAATGCCCACTAAATCGTGAAGGCGAGATATCAAAATGTCATGGTCCACCATGTCAAAGGCGGCAGTCAAGTCCAGCAGGACAAGAATCACATACTCCCCTGCATCAGTGGCCAAATAAATATCATTAACAACCTTTAATAAGGCTGACTCTGTACTATGCATGCATTTAAAACCAGACTGAAAAACCTCGCTCTCCATTGATTTTTGTATTACCTGAAGTAAGTAACAAGTAAGTCTTTTTACAAATAGCCAAAAAATGCCTAAAAGCTGCTGTGTGGTAGGATGCAGTACCAATGAGGCACAGAACCCAGAGTTTTAGTTTTAAAAGCTGCAGAACAAAAAAACCTGAAGCTATAAGAAAACAAAGTAGAGGAGATGTGTAGCACTGGCAGGAATAGCAGGAAAACTGATCCTGACACTCTATGGGTACAGCTCGTGTCTCTTATAATGTCCGCAGACAAAATTTTGTTGTATGCATTATAATGACAATAAAAAATAAAGCTTCTTATAAGGACCATTGTTTCCATCACTTTGTGTCTTTTCCTTGCGCCTTAGTCCCTTAAGATGCAAGGAAAACATGAGGTGAGAGGACTCGTGGAAATTCATTATTAACGACATGAAACGTCTTTTCCTTAGATCCTTCACCTGAAGCATCCAGTCACCAACTGAGAGATGTACCCTATGTGTGGCAAGCATCTTGGTATATTTTCAGGTGCCTTAACTAACTCCAGGAGGTTGCTGACATATAGCACAAGGGAGGAAAATCAGTGTTACAATTTACTTATTTACCAAATACTGTAGAGCCAGAGCTAGGGGGAAAACGGGGGTGTTGTTGGTAACTAAAGTGATGAGGGGACATGTTAGCAAGCTACTGTGGTTAGCCAAGTCATAAATACATTATAGATATATGAATTCTGTTGATCTAATAAATGCTAAAACGGCACCGTGACATCATTTTGGATATATCATAATCATGTGACTGAGGTGATTGTGGATATCCACAAAAGAATTGTAGATATCTTGAACTGTCATTCTGACTAGTCAGAATGTAATTGCGGATATCTAAAACTATGGTTTTGACCAGATGCATTGCAAGTTTGACTACCGTACTTTCCGGACTATAAGCCACCACTGTTGTTGCTTCATGCCCACACCCTCATCATGGACAACACACGACGAAATGCATATGATGCAGCTTTCAAGTTACAGGCGATCGATCTGGCTGTCGAAATATCTCATGTTACAACGTGGACACCTGTGGCTATGTACAACATGTTTTTTGTCTTACATTTAGTGGGTGCGGCTTATAGTTACGGTAGTCAAAATGCAAATGTAGATATCTGAATTATAATTAGTGATAGTCACTAACTTTGTTAAAATAGCATCCTTAAAGCCATATCCAAAATATCTTGGTAGATATCTTAAAAGCAATTATGACTAGTCAAAAGTCCGATTAAAGATATCTACACTGAAGTTTTGACTAGTCAAAACTTTTTATATATATATATATAACTGGAGTTACGACTAGCAAAATTATATTGAATTATTTGAATTTTGATTACCCATAATGTAATTACAGGAATCTGGAATTCACATTTGGATGGGCAGAACTGAATTGTAGATATCTTAAATTAGTTTTCCCATTCAAGTCAATGAAGAATTCATACTAGTCAAAATGTAACAGCAGACATCTTAGTTTTAACTAGTTATAAATATACTAGATATCTTAAATGTAAATCCTCTCCACCTATTTAATGGTAAAGGGCTTGCCACAGACATCTCGTGTCGTTAATAACGTGCTTCCTTGAATCCTCTCTCCTCATGTTTTCCTTGCATCTTATAGATGCAGCCACTCAGACCTGCACACCCAGCTGAGTTCTATTATTTGTACTACATAACACTCACTATTAGAAGGAGAAACTACGGTCTCAGTCTCATTTGTTGTTTGTGTATGACGTGTCTTACCTCTAGTTTCTTTTCTCTCTCCATGAGCGCCTCCTTCTGGCTACCGATGTAGTCCGTCAGCATGCGAGCCAGCTGCCTCCGATCCTCCAGCTCAGCAGCCAGTCGACCGTTATACTCCGCCAGCAGCAAACAGGCTTCATCCACTGTCTTCGACAGCTTATCTGCTGCTTCCTTGTCTACATTAGGGGGTGGGGAGCAAGGTGGTATGTTAAAGTTACAGAGTATGACACTTATTAGAGATTATGTACAAGATGTTCTAATGTATTTAGAAACTCTATACATTCAGTTTGTTTCTACTATTGTATATACTTGTCAATATTATTTCTCTTATTCATAGTGTACAGTATATTTTGTACTATACTGCTCTTGTTTTATAACCTGTGTCTATAAATTATTTATACAGACACAATTACTATAATGTGGCCAATGTGCACATTCTGACATCATGTACAGGATGTTGCTGTAAACTGGACAAATGTACTGTTATGTACAAAACTTTGATTGCTTCTAACAACCTGTATCACTATATGCACTCCTTCATTGTTCTTATTTGACTTTCTATTTTTTTTATGGGTACATTTGCTTTATATTTTTGTCCATAGCTGAATCATTGTTTCCCCTAAAATATGGAAATTTTACAAAAACAAGAAAATGATGACTTTTAAAATATTAATAAAAGTTTGAAACGTGTGTCAAGAATGAGGAAAAATAATAAGTATCTATATAAAGTATTTAATGAAAAGTCATTTCTGATCAAGCTAAGCTGTCAGATCTTACCGGTGATCTTCTCCAGGAGGGAAACGTCCTGCACTTCCTGCGGCAGTGAGGCAATCTTCTGCCGAACAGCTGCGTCACCAGATGCTGCATTCTCCAAATCCTGCAGCGCCTTCACCAGCTCCTCTGTCTGAAAGTGTGTTTAAAGGGGACAGAGTGAGAAGGTTAGATAGGAAAAATGAGCAGGGAGGGAGACCATGTGACAAAACAAGGTGATGAGGAAAGTGAGAGAGGAATAATAGCAACACTCTGTTACTGTGCAAGATTATTTTTATGTCCGTTTTGGTTTTTTGCAAAAGAAATGGCGGTGTCCTTACCAGCTGAGTTGCAGCGACATCCGTGCTGTGAGGAGAGGTGTGGCTCCTGTAGTCATCATCCTCCTCTTCGTCATCTTCCTGGATCTTCTGATAGTTTCGTTTCACCGCCTTCTTCTCTTCTGCAGTGTCAGAAAGACACACAGATGGAGCTTCACTAAATTATGTAGTCAATCCTAGACAACAGACTGTAGATAAGGCCATTAACTGTTTAGAATTACAGTGCCTTGCGAAAGTATTCTGCCCCCTTGAACTTTGCGACCTTTTGCCACATTTCAGGCTTCAAACATAAAGATATAAAACTGTCATTTTTTGTGAAGAATCAACAACAAGTGGGACACAATCATGAAGTGGAACGAAATTTATTGGATATTTCAAACTTTTTTAACAAATAAAAAACTGAAAAATTGGCCGTGCAAAATTATTCAGCCCCCTTAAGTTAATACTTTGTAGCGCCACCTTTTGCTGCGATTACAGCTGTAAGTCACTTGGGGTATGTCTCTATCAGTTTTGCACATCGAGAGACTGAAATATTTGCCCATTCCTCCTTGCAAAACAGCTCGAGCTCAGTGAGGTTGGATGGAGAGCATTTGTGAACAGCAGTTTTCAGTTCTTTCCAAAGATTCTCGATTGGATTGAGGTCTGGACTTTGACTTGGCCATTCTAACACCTGGATATGTTTAGTTTTGAACCATTCCATTGTAGATTTTGCTTTATGTTTTGGATCAGTGTCTTGTTGGAAGACAAATCTCCGCCCCAGTCTCAGGTCTTTTGCAGACTCCATCAGGTTTCCTTCCAGAATGGTCCTGTATTTGGCTCCATCCATCTTCCCATCAAGTTTAACCATCTTCCCTGTCCCTGCTGAAGAAAAGCAGGCCCAAACCAGGATGCTGCCACCACCATGTTTGACAGTGGGGATGGTGTGTTCAGGGTGATGAGCTGTGTTGCTTTTACGCCAAACATAACGTTTTGCATTGTTGCCAAAAAGTTCGATTTTGGTTTCATCTGACCAGAGCACCTTCTTCCACATGTGTGGTGTGTCTCCCAGGTGGCTTGTGGCAAACTTTAAACGACACTTTTTATGGATATCTTTAAGAAATGGCTTTCTTCTTGCCACTCTTCCATAAAGGCCAGATTTGTGCAGTATACGACTGATTGTTGTCCTATGGACAGAGTCTCCCACCTCAGCTGTAGATCTCTGCAGTTCATCCAGAGTGATCATGGGCCTCTTGGCTGCATCTCTGATCAGTCTTCTCCTTGTATGAGCTGAAAGTTTAGAGGGACGGCCAGGTCTTGGTAGATTTGCAGTGGTCTGATACTCCTTCCATTTCAATATTATCGCTTGCACAGTGCTCCTTGGGATGTTTAAAGCTTGGGAAATCTTTTTGTATCCAAATCCGGCTTTAAACTTCTCCACAACAGTATCTCGGACCTGCCTGGTGTGTTCCTTGTTCTTCATGATGCTCTCTGCGCTTTAAACAGACCTCTGAGACTATCACAGTGCAGGTGCATTTATACGGAGACTTGATTACACACAGGTGGATTCTATTTATCATCATTAGTCATTTAGGTCAACATTGGATCATTCAGAGATCCTCACTGAACTTCTGGAGAGAGTTTGCTGCACTGAAAGTAAAGGGGCTGAATAATTTTGCACGCCCAATTATTCAGTTTTTTATTTGTTAAAAAAGTTTGAAATATCCAATAAATTTCGTTCCACTTCATGATTGTGTCCCACTTGTTGTTGATTCTTCACAAAAAATTACAGTTTTATATCTTTATGTTTGAAGCCTGAAATGTGGCAAAAGGTCGCAAAGTTCAAGGGGGCCGAATACTTTCGCAAGGCACTGTAATTGAATGTTGAACCAAAACTTGACATTACTTTCGAGGTTATTTAAAAATGATCCTAATATGTTGCCATTTTGTCAGAAGTAGCATTAAAGTTGATGTAAAATAGCAGTTACATCATCACTCAGCTATTTCTACAGTTTTTCCCCACTATAATGTGTGACAAGGATCATTGTAAAAGGTTTTAAAAAAGAAAAGCAGTTGTAATACCGATGCCTGAAGTTTCTGTGCCACTTATTTAGAGACCTTCTGATACCAGCAACAATAGGCCAAATATACTGAGCTGTCTCATGTTAGATCACATTTTGGGTACATAAGTACACTTTTTGCTGCTGTTGTATGCATGCATGCAACAATCACAGTTTTCAGATGTTTCACACAAATAATTACTTTATAAAACTTATATAAGTAACAGAATAACAAAAGGAAATGCCCAATTTTGGGTGGTAAATAAGAAATCAGAATGAGTCTATTAATGAAAGGGAAGGGGGATACAATTTAAGGGGTCAGTTAAATTTAAAAATTCATGTTATACGTACAACCAAAAAAAGATTCTGTATTTCCATAAGTGGGGTAAAACTATGGAATAATTTAAGTGCGGACATAAAAAATAGTAATAGAATTGACGAGTTTAAGCATAAATATAAAGGTATATGTCAATCAAGATATATGCAAGAACAGGCTTAATGATTAATTAGATGGAACATTGTGGGTGTGGTGTATGAATGTTAACACTTTGTAATAATTCTTTAGTATATTACTTGTGTGGTGTAGAAGATAATTATCTATGTAGAGATACTGCTTGCAAACCAATGATGGTAAGATGATGTCATGGGGTAGGACTGGATAAGTCTGACTTCTTCCTACTCCATTCAAGCATGTACTAGGTATAAGCAAATTGATATTGGATTAGCATTTGTTGGATATGTGTAAAATTATGTGTGTTGACATATCAACTGTCTTTACATGCTTGAAAGAATAAATCAAATCAAATGATTCATTAATGACTCATAAAACATCTTTCCTCTACATATGACATTGTATATTAGCTGCTTGTTATAATAATTATCAATATCAGAATTTTGTGGTAGAGTATAAATTCCTAAGCAGATGTAACAGCTGTCTCTTACCTGAAGGCCTCGGGCTGTTTGAGTCTTCTATGGCCAGTTTGAGCTGCTGAATGAAGTCGCTTCTGTAAAGATTTCTCTCCTTCCAGATGTTCAGCAGCCTCTCCATGTGCTTTTTACAGTTCTCATCGGCATCACTGCAGGGACACAGAGAACAGTGGGTTCAGTAGAAGACGAGACGATCCAAAGGAAGTGACTGTTTTTACAGCCCAATACTGAAAAAATAAAGGACGATATTAACTTGAGTTTTTTTTCCCCTTACATTTGATGATCCAACAAACTTTGATGAATTCTGATTTCAATGGAATAAACAGATCGCAATCAAATCTTTTTGTTTTTCAAATATTATCACCGGTAGTAAATTTCTTTGTGGAAATGGGAAACAAAAAGGAAGAAATACAAAAAAAAAAAACTAGACAGCACTGAGAGTGCAAACCTCTGCCAAGGGCAACATAAACTTTTGCATAAGACTGTACACCTAAAACCAATATTCCCATAATAAACTGACCCTCATAATACAATTGTTTGGTGATGAAAACCTACCGCTGCAATTTGTAATGACAATGATATTATTAGTTTGAAAGTTTCCATCCATTCATTAGCTATACCGCAAATTCCTAATAGGGTCACGGGGTTATCCAATGCCAGCTGGGATAGGCTGACATTGGGCAAGAGGCAGGGTACACCCTGGACAGGTCACCAGTCTATCACTGGGCTGACATATACAGTGCCTTGCGAAAGTATTCGGCCCCCTTGAACTTTGCGACCTTTTGCCACATTTCAGGCTTCAAACATAAAGATATAAAACTGTAATTTTTTGTGAAGAATCAACAACAAGTGGGACACAATCATGAAGTGGAACGAAATTTATTGGATATTTCAAACTTTTTTAACAAATAAAAAACTGAAAAATTGGGCGTGCAAAATTATTCAAATCCACATAAGGGATGACGGCAACATTCATAGATCCTGGAATGCACAATGAGGGGCAATGTTCATTCCTATTACAGAGGCCCACTGAAATTTTTTTGAGGAAAAGCTGTGTTAGACTGCATATTGTTTATAGTAAAGTATTTTTATATACAAATATAAAAATGAAAATGTTTCTGGAGTGGGACTTTAATTAATTATAGAAGTTGTGCAGAAGCTGCCCATAGCTCTACACAGTGATCCATGTGTGTACTGTATGTGTTTCTATGCTGCTCCAAATGAGTCTGTTCTGGTTCAACTTGTCTTATTAAATGAGCTTAAAAATAAAGTGACACCTTAGTTATAAAACACTGAGCAGGCTGTAACACACAAGAGTGTGTGATACAAAAAGATTTCCCAAGCTTTAAACATCCCAAGGAGCACTGTGCAAGCGATAATATTGAAATGGAAGGAGTATCAGACCACTGCAAATCTACCAAGACCTGGCCGTCCCTCTAAACTTTCAGCTCATACAAGGAGAAGACTGATCAGAGATGCAGCCAAGCGGCCCATGATCACTCTGGATGAACTGCAGAGATCTACAGCTGCGGTGGGAGACTCTGTCCATAGGACAACAATCAGTCGTATACTGCACAAATCTGGCCTTTATGGAAGAGTGGCAAGAAGAAAGCCATTTCTTAAAGATATCCATAAAAAGTGTTGTTTAAAGTTTGCCACAAGCCACCTGGGAGACACACCAAACGTGTGGAAGAAGGTGCTCTGGTCAGATGAACCCAAAATCGAACTTTTTGGCAACAATGCAAAATGTTATGTTTGGCGTAAAAGCAACACAGTTCATCACCCTGAACACACCATCCCCACTGTCAAACATGGTGGTGGCAGCATCATGGTTTGGGCCTGCTTTTCTTCAGCAGGGACAGGGAAGATGGTTAAAATTGATGGGAAGATGGATGGAGCCAAATACAGGACCATTCTGGAAGGAAACCTGATGGAGTCTGCAAAAGACCTGAGACTGGGACGGAGATTTGTCTTGTTGGAAGACAAATCAATGATCCAAAACATAAAGCAAAATCTACATTGGAATGGTTCACAAATAAACATATCCAGGTGTTAGAATGGCCAAGTCAAAGTCCAGACCTGAATCCAATCGAGAATCTGTGGAAAGAACTGAAAACTGCTGTTCACAAACGCTCTCCATCCAACCTCACTGAGCTCGAGCTGTTTTGCAAGGAGGAATGGGCAAAAATTTCAGTCTCTCAATGGGCAAAACTGATAGAGACATACCCCAAGCGACTTACAGCTGTAATCGCAGCAAAAGGTGGCGCTACAAAGTATTAACTTAAGGGGGCTGAATAATTTTGCACGCCCAATTTTTCAGTTTTTTATTTGTTAAAAACGTTTGAAATATCCAATAAATTTCGTTCCACTTCATGATTGTGTCCCACTTGTTGTTGATTCTTCACAAAAAATTACAGTTTTATATCTTTATGTTTGAAGCCTGAAATGTGGCAAAAGGTCGCAAAGTTCAAGGGGGCCGAATACTTTCGCAAGGCACTGTAGACAGACAACCACACACAGTCACATACACTCCTATGGGCAATTTAGAGTCACCAATCAACCTAAGCTACATGTCTTTGGACAGTGGGAAGAAGCCAGAGTACCCGAAGAACCCGCGTAGGCACAAGGAGAACATGCAATCTCCACACAAAAAGGCCCCGGGTCAGCTGGGACACGAACCTGGAACCTTCTTGCTGTGAGGCGACAGCACTAACCACCATGCCACTGTGCTTGAAAATTATTCAAGAAAAATAAGATACGAGCAATTACTAAATACCACGAACAGCAAAATAAACGTCTCATGCAGACTGACATAACAATGTGTACTTCAAGTCGCCCTGCTGGGCTCCTGCACTTCCTGCCTCACACAGCAAGGTGTACTGAGCAACAGCACTCAGGTTCCATTTACAGTGACTGGGCAGCTCTCGCTGGCTCAGGGATTTGTCTCCATCTGTGTTCAGTGTGCTCAGCAGTGCAGCTGAGCACTTTGGCCACAAATGGGCTCACATACAGTCGACAGCTTTTCCAGTACTCAGAATGGTGAAGAATTCCTGTATCATAATTATTATCCAAATCAGCACCAAATCTAAATCGATTGTTCTGTGGACCATGCCCTACTTTTCCAAAAAAAATTCAGCAAAATTCATTCATTACTTTTTGCATTATGGGGTTAACAAACAGGCAAACCAATACCACCCTCCCGTACTCTACTTGTAAAAGTCATCTCACCAGTACCAGTTAACAGCAGCACTACATTAAC